AGAGAGAAAGAGAGAGAGAGAGAAACTAACTTCTAATCACGTTTTCAGAGGTCTCCATCAGGTTTGCGGCGGTGATGTAGAACAAACAGCTTGGAGTGCGGCTGGCTGTGCTGAAGTTCGGGATCTGAGAAGAAGGAAGTGGCCAGACATTCGAAAGGGGTTTACGAGGAACCTTCCTGGTGCTATGCTACACACTTTGCTTGCTTTGGTCTCTGTTGATGCGCGCCCTGGTGCTCAATAGAAAATTTCCAGGTATGATCCCGAATCTAAGAAGTACCCTCGCAACTCCAGCAAGACCCTGTCCCTGCATTACCTCGAACTAATTCATTTTCCAAGATGAAGGACGCGCTTGGGATTCCCTGGTGTGAAGACTCTCGTACTTTGCATGCTTGGGGAGAAACCGTTGTTGTTGAGAAAGAAAGCCCATGACCTATATGGAGTCTATCACCCGTAGCTGTCATACCTACAGTCCCTCCCATGCTGCCCCCTCCCCAAGATAACAGGAGGATTTTTGGGTTAACTGCCCCAGCCCCAGAAGCAAAGATCTATGACTATCTTTTGACTCTGATGAGATCCTTATTCTAAAGTTTGCCCGGGTGACCGCAGTCCCCTTGTTAGAAGAGAGACAATCATGCTGCTGAAGTGTTTGGCGCCAAGACCGAGGCCGAGAGAGGAGCAGACCAACCGTCGATGATCATGGTGAACTTAGCCTGCAGATCTATGATTACTTGGTGCTTAGTAGGGAATGAAATCTCCATAGTAAAGCCCACATTATCCACTATACTAGTCGCTAAAAAAATGGCCTCATTCCTTACTAAGCACAAGTAAGTGGTTGCGCGGCCAAAGGGGGGCCAGAGTCGACAAAGGTTGTGCAAGTTTCAAGCCTGAAGGACAGGATATGTAACTCTCGGCTTCAAATTTACTCAAAGCCTTTGCGTCTCTGTCACTGACATAATGATAAACGCAAGTGCAAAGCTGACTTTAGCCCCCCAATGACCACAGCACATGACATCCAAAGCGAAGTGTAACCATGTGAGTGCTTCCCCAGCATGCTCGGCCTAGGTCTGTAGTCAGATGGTGCGGTCGTATATGACAACCCGCCAGTCACATCCAAAACAGAGAGTGCCCAGCTTATATCATCTTACATACACACACACATATATATACACATACGGTAGCCCACTGATAACCGCACGTAGCAGCAGTATTAGTAAGTAATAGCCATGGTTTGAAGAACAGTAACAAAAGTAGATGTAACCTTAGTATGTCCTCAGGGTGCCAGTACCCAATGGTATTTAATCACATACTTCCAAAACCCTGTACTACAAGTACTATTACCCCCATCCCAACTGGGTTGGCCCCTAAAGCCCTTTGAAAAATATTAGTATACAGGGTCCCTTATTAAAGCCATTAGGGAAAATACTAAATATTTCAAGGGCCTACCCAGCCAAGTACTAAACTTTTGTGTGCAGGGACCTTCTGGGATTGTAATGACAAAGCGAGGGTCCGACGGGCACAGCTGGCAGATCGAAAGTATGGCCGTCCCTCATGCCCATACTGCTTCTCAGGGTTTAGGGCCTTTGGGGTTTTAAGGTTTTGTCATGGAACTGCCCAGAAAATACCCCTAAATCCCAAACCCTAAGGCGTAAAGCGGGAACCCAAAAACCTGTAGCGCAGCAAACAGCGACGCCTCACTGAAGAGCTCCTCATCGATAACATACCTTAGACACTTATTTGCTTTAGGGGCCTTAAGGGAGTTTTATAGGGCATTATATAGGGCACTAGTACAGGCGTTATTAAGGTGCCTAGTAAGGAGCTCAGACTATAGCTCATGTGAAGCTCAGAAGGCATCAGACAGGGGTACACCGTGCCTCGTGTCAAGCCCCCGACCCCAAGTGGCAGGTATAGGCATAGGATGAACAATAGACACAAGCAACGCCATTCAACCTGTCATGTTAGGCCGGAACTACCCCAAATTCTGACCCTTGCACAGTGAGACCTACATTCAACATCTTGCGCTCTGAAACTCCACACCTTTTGCAGTGCACCTGGGCTGTTCCTGTAAGAGCAGGAGCAGGAGACCTGGCTAAACCCTAAACCCTCTATAAACCGCCTCTATAAGCACCCCCTTAATTCTAAGTTCCTTGACAGCAACCTAGCTCGAGGCCCCAGGACTCCGGCTTCGTCGCCCCGGAGTCTGGGCCGCGAGTGAGCGTCCACTCTACGACCGCGCGGCCTCATGTCTGGGGTTGCTCCAGTTTAGGGTTTAGGGTTATATTGGGGTTTATATAGGTTATATAGGGGTTATATTAAGGTTATATTAGTAGAGTTATGTAGGGGTTATATAAGGACAATTAAAAGAAAATGGAAACTGCTGTTTAGGGTTTAGGGTTTGAAGGGGTGGACCCCTAGTTAAGTTCTGTTGTAACTGGGTAATACTTGCTAGACGTCCCACAGGCTGTAGTCCTGTGACTTATATGAACAACTACGCAATTAGGCGACCCCACCCCGGAGGGCCAAGGCCCTTGAAGGGGCCTGTCAGGTTTCACACCCGGCTTGGTGGCGAGGTTTTCGGGTAAGCGCTCAGGGTTGATTTTTCAGGGCTCACTGTTTCATAGGCTAAGCTTTAGGGTTAATAATATATAGAGTTCACGATTTGGGGCCGGGGGTCCCGAAGCCCAAAGCCCTGAACTGCACAGGGTGAAGGACTTGGGGCTTCAACACTGTAGGCAAGGCGCAAGTCAGGCAATGGCTGGGATATAGTCCCCAGTATGTAGATAGAATATGGCTTTGGGTATATTATACTTATAATACGATCCCCGGATACCCCATACTCCATCTACTGAAGGGGGACTATAACCCGGAACCCTAAATCCTAAACCCTAAATGGAGCTTTCGGCTTTGGGTGCCGAGTTTCTGAAGTTAGCTGTCAAGCTTACGAAAAGGGTCCAAGCACTCAATGATCATATGGGGCTTTCCCCGGATTAGGTGTACCTGCTTGACGGTGCCCATAGGAAGGACAATAGTATTTTGGGGTCCACATTGGGGTCGCCTTTTTTGGGAAACTACCATATACATCCTCAAAACCTGTACTACAGTACGGTGCCTCCATTGTACATTCTCTCCTGTACCTGCCTCAGGAAGCAGAAGCAATCACCCTATCATAAGTGTCCCTACGCTCCTGATAGTAGGCATTCCCTTTTTGTGCAGTCGTACCACATTGGAATATGCATTCTTAGGAGGTCGGGAGGGGAGTGCTGTTGGAGGGGTACAAGGACAGTCAACTCATGATGACCATCTGAAGAGTAATGCCTCAGTACCTGCAGGGTGGCTAGCTATCAAAAGAGGGATCGCCCGGCTACTTCAAACTACGACGAGACGTTGGACAGTTCTGCAATCATGGAAGGCATTGGCAGCACATCTCAAGAGCTTGGCAGGGGCGTGCTTGACATTGTGATATGATGATGGCACGGCCAGTTTTGCCATTGCACTTGTAATTCTTTCATGCGGCTTCCAAAAGAAGTGAGGAAGCTGCCAGATCTCTGAATTGGTGCAACACCTTGAATGCACCGCCCCTGTCAAGGATCTTAACATCGTCCTAGTACATAGGTCCTACATAGGGCATCAGGGCCTCGCATGGAATTGGCTAAACCTGAACGGTCTAAGCACCGAATAATCACATACTTCACGAATACCTGCGCTACAATATCTTTTTCCCAAATGCCAAGTACTCAGCTGTTGAGTACATGGACCCTCTAGGAAAAAGTTCAGAAACACGCTTCGGTCCACATTGAGCGAAGGTTCAGTAGCTTGGGGAATCGTTCCTCTACATTGCATGTTGCTGTATTATTCACATCTTCAAGAATTGCCGCCCATGAATCTTTCGGCCCGTCCAAGTGAGCCATAGTCTAAACACGTAGTATCCCCCTCAATAATCCCCAAAGTACTCCCCTGCATAATCCCCTATATAACCCCCTTTAGAGAATTTAGACTAGGGCTCAAGTCTCCCCTACACAAAATCAATCCAAGGAACCATCCAAGCGGGGCAGATTGGCATATTCCGCAGGCACCTTCACCAGGAATTGCAGTTTTGAATTTTTTGGTGGGCAGTTTTCAGCGGCTCGGGTCAGGAATTAGAGTCTAGGGTTTGGCGTCTAGGCTCAGGAGCCTTAACTCAACACGTCAGGTCGAAAAAGGCTGCCCTCTTTGGATTTCACGTGGGCTCTCTCGTGCCCGAAAGCCTAGTTACCCTAAACGCGAAACCCCGGGCACCCACTAGGCAGGTAGCTCTTAAGTATGTTTACGAGCAGGGGCTTGCTGGATAGCAAGTCGGAGTACAAGGGTAGGTCACCCCTTTATACAGACCCCACCACCCCGTAACAATAGCGCCCCTACGTTGACATATACCCATTCCATATTAAGGGGAATGTTCACCATCCGGGCTTGGCGTGACTTACTATATTGATAAAAACTCCAATGTAGTTGACGGAGCTCTCTTGCTCTATCGTCCTTCCCATAAACATGGTTTCGCCCGAAAGAAAACTAGACTAGACGCAAATCATACACAGATACATCGGGGTACCGGGCTTGCCGGGACAGGGGCCGAGCCTCGAAGAGTCCCCAAATGTTGCTGCAGTAGCAATATGCACCCAACAAGTCTATGTGTGAGTCAACTTCAGCGCATAATGAACCCCCAACCCCCCAAAAATGACCCACCCAATGTAACACGTGCTGTGTTGCGGGGGTATATTTGTTCTCACAAAAGTTTAGCAAGGGTTTTCAGAGGCCTTCACATGTCCTCCTGCACTTGAGCGGCACAAACTTCACGAATGCCACCCCCAACCCTAAACCCCCTTCTTTGGGGGCTATGGATTCGGCCTTGCGATGCAAAGCTTCAGGCCTAGAACATGCCTGCAGATCCATTTGCCTACAGGTTAAGAATAGTTCCTCCCAAATCAGGGTAGGTAGAAGCCAAACAATTGTGGGTAAGTGGAACCAGAGGTTGGTTTAGGGTGAATGGCCTGAGGTTGGAGAATGACAGCTAACGACGATGTTTCAGCTGTTTTGCCCTTTTGCACTTGAAGGCGTCCGCGCAACCAAGAATGAAGCATGGGATAGTTGGTCTATACTACCACTTCCCCAAACGAACACGGAACCCCACATAGGCCCCCTTGTCCTTGTCTTGTGGACCCGTTTTGAGGTTCCATGTCTGCCTTGAGGAGTGCACCATTTCCCATTATCTCAATCCAGCTGGCTACCAAAACGTATCCGCAACCACAATTCGATTGATGGATGCAGACGACATTATCTGCAAAAGATCCCGTCGGATGGCAAGTATCGGCTTTAGGCCACATTTGCCACGCGAGGAAGGTGCTAGACCAGCAATGAAACAGAAACAGCGCTTGATTCAGCACTTATGCCAAGAACAGGAACCTGAATCACTTGGAAAAGTCGCCTTGCAGCTCCCTACTGCAAGCACAGCTGCAGATTGTCATGCGTCTAGCCCCGGCGCGACTATTCAGGTTTCTGCAGCATTTGAATCACTCACAAAGATTAATTTGGCTTCCTCACAGTGTGTGCTGCGAGGGGCCCTGGCCCTTTTGAGCTCCGTCGGCTTTCTCCATGTCGGCACCGTCAGCATTCCTTGACTGCTGAACGCAATTGGGCTTTATTGGAAGCATGAGACCGAATCATGGTCTGGCAGCCCGGGGCAACGACAATAACAAATCTAATGCAAGACAATACCAAGCCCTCAGTATCCAAGTACCCAGTAGTCCTATACTATCGCACTACGTATACTCCCAGGTTTTCAACTAGCATTACGCAAACCCCAAATACTCAATCTATTCGGTACATAGACCCTGTAACCATACCCTAGATGTTCGCACCCCTCATCCTGATCCCTGACACTACCTCTGGCAATTCAAGGCATGAGTAACAACACACGACAACTAGAAGTCTGGTGAAGTTGGTCAAGCCGAGGCCACAGTCACCCTTTCAGTCATAATAAGATGTTAAGGTTGATAATGGTTCTAGGATTTTGAGGTTGAGGGCTTAGGGTCTTATAGGGCTTAGGGTTTCGGGCTCTAATGCCCGAGGGCCAGGATCCTAAAGCTACGGACCATCCACATGGGGCCCATGACTTTCTCATGCAAGCCTTTCTCAGTCCCCCTTAAGTAGATAGAATCTGGAGTAGATGGAGACCTTCTAATATATTCAAGGCCCTATTGTCTCTACTAAAGGGGGACTATAGCCCCCGATCTTGCTTGTGTATCGTCACATCGTCATCACGCGATGCTTACGAACTCCTGCACACCTCTTGGTCCCCAAGACCTAGCCTTGGCACTCGTAGGCCTGAAGTCCAAATCATGACATGATTACATTCCCCTCGCCTATGTAGTGCCCTCATAGCAATTCTCCTCTCCTCCCACCCCGCCCAAGTATTCCATATTCACCATAAAAGAAGACCTCATGTGTCGGGAGACATATTTGCTATTAGGGGTGGGATATCTTTAGCACGGGATTACTCACGAGGAGGTCGGTATTAAAAACAAATGCCTCAGCAGCGTTGACAAGATCCCTGCCGCCCCAACTCTGACGTCTCAAGCGGTTTAGGGTTCCCAGGTTGAGGGCTTAAGTTATTAAGGGTTTAGGGCAGACTGCCAAAAAACTGTCCTAGACATATATGTTCTGTACGTACTTCCCATGTCCGTATATGTCTCACTATCCGTCACCCCCTGTGCTTCGCACACAAACCCGCCGTTGCTTACACGCATCATCCCAAAGTTGGGGGAGAACTGCAGTATTATACGGGAAATACCCACTTTAAGGGTCTAAACCCTAAACCCTTCTACCCTAAACCCCTATAAATTGTGACCTTCAGGGATCCTCTGGCTTAGGTCGAAGGCTCTGAATGCTGTCCGACTTGTCGGGGTCCGACGCGCTCTTCTGGGGCGGCTCCTACGGATGGATACAAGATGAGGAGGCATCCTGGGTGGAGCAGGGACTGCGTGTTGGGTTTAGGGTTTAGAGTTTACGGCTTAGGGGTTTAAGGTTCAAGGTTTAGGGGTTGAGGATTTGGGGCTTGGGGTATCTCATCGCGCCCGGCTGACAGTCAATGCAGGGGTCTGTGGGTGGCGGCACGTCCTGGTGGGGGTTTTGTTGTCGTTGTGGTAGTTTCCTAAAATAGGTGAACCCCAATATAGACCCCAAAATACTATAGTCCTTATTATGGGGACCCGCAAAAAGGGTACCCTTAATTTTGGGAAATCCCCGTGTTGTTCTAGTAGGAGGAGACATAACAAAAGTAGGACGAGTAGCAGTAGGCGTAGCACTCCAGGGCAGGGGTTAGAGTCGCTGTCACGCTAGCAGTACTAGTAATAGTAGATGCTACCTGGAATTCTACCTGGCAGTTACGCAGGTTGCCTATATGTCGCGCTGTATTGGTTGCAAAAAGAAGTGCAGTTAAAGGATCGGCTTTTGACGGTCGTGCTAAATCGCTTAAAACACCAGTCAACCCCATCAACTTTGTACACACCCAGAATGTTCTGTAAATCTTATCCACGTGCTATTGAGCCACAGCCCTCAACCCTCCCCCAACCTCCAAACCCCCTAAGCCGTAAAATTGGGCAGCATCACCTAAACCCTTAAACCCTAAACCTTAAACCCTTAAATGCTTAAACCCTTAAACCGTTAAACCCTAAACCCAATACACAGTCCCTGGGCCACCCAGGATGCCTCCTCTGCAAGGAGTGCGTCGATGTCCTCATTCCTGGATCATGGTTGGGATAATACGGTCCGGGGTTTAAGGTGCTATGCCGAAAATCAGAACGCGCTTTCCCTCATCATGCCCCCCCCCTCTCACCCCCACCGCACTAATAACACATACTCCCCCAACTGGACATCGAGGGCGGAGAGGGGGAGGGGATTAATGAAGCATCACATGTTCTAGTCCTTATTGTAGCCCATCTTTGTTGCGAAAAACAAAACAATAACTTAACAATGGCTCAGGTTCGAGAAGAGCAGCGGCAGGATTTTGAAGCGGAACGGAATCAAGAGGGCTACCTGAGGTTGAGGGCGTGGAGCATTCGGTATGGGTTTAGGGTTATGGTTGGGGTTGGGATCCTAAACCTCCAACCCTATACTGTGTTTTTTTCACACGGGTTTGGTGGTGTGCAGGGCTTGGCATGCGGGATGGGCTTGTGGTTGTGGCCATAGGATTGTACACGGGCCTGCAGAGGCGGTTTGCAGTTTAAGTCTTAAAGTCAGATCGAAAATGCCCTCTTGGCATGCCGTAAGGTACCAGCATGTCCCCAAACACAGCTAAAGTGGCCAATACATTGCCGGCATCACTACTGGCAGCCTGGCTGCAGACAATCGTGGCAATACTGCTGAAAATCAGAGCAAAAATCCACACCTGAAATCGAATTCCTGGAACTTGCACACAATGTAAAAAGTCTATTTGGGCTGGATTTACTTCAAGGCTTCGGGCTTAGGATCAAGTCTGACCATGTCGCAAAGACAGGGAAACCCAACCCGATGTAGATGTTGCAGAGCCAGCAGCCAACCACCATCAGGATCCTCAGTGGTCAAAATTCAGTGTCTAGGGTTTTTGGGTTTCAAGTTGGTCTTAGAGTTTAGGATTTACGCTCTGGGGCTTCAGGGTGTAGAGTTCAGGGTTTAGGGTCCCATCCCCGACCCAAAGATTGTAATTTCTCGAATTGGTCCTTGGATAATCTCTAAGGACCACAATAATCTCACATTTGTATAGGGATGTGAGGATTCTTGTGGTCCTTAGACCTATAAGGTCCCCAGGCCCCCTGAAAGGAATCATATGAGTATCCGATGTACTCAAGGCTGGCATCAAAGCTGCTGGCCAACCCTAAAATCACATGGAAGCCCAGAAGGGACACAAAGCCTGTCGTCTTACAAATGGCTCTATATATAACTTATCATGAACATATGTATATATATACTAACTATAATATATATATATGTATACATACATACATACATACATACATACATACATACATACATATGCCATGGTCTACCAAACTGGACACCACTCATCGACACTGACGAAGTTCCCAAAAAAAAAGCCTATATACACCGACCAAAGCCCCATAATGAAAACCCTGGTACATATGGGTTTCCATCGATGTTGAACTGTACAGCGTATAACTCTACGTACCTACATAGGGAATTGAAAACCCCGAACTCTGAGCCCTAAACCCTCAACTTTAAACACTGAACAGTGCACCCGTACACTGCCCTAAACCCTACCATTGCAGAGCCCGCAGGCTGTACCAAGGTGAAGAGATGGACGGTCTTCAGGGGCACGTGGCTGTAGCCTGGTGTGGAAATCGCTCAGGGTTTAGGGCTTCGGATTCAGGATCTAAGGTTTAGGGACTAGCCCACGGACCTCCAGGTAGATCTGGAATATGGCTTTGAGTATATTGTAATAAGATCCCCATACATCCCAAATTCTTTTTACTTAAAGGGGACTATACTCCCAGTTAGGGTTATTGCGAAAAACAAAAAGTGTTCTCCATACGGGGAAGTACAGAGATTACAGGAATTATCTGGCTATGACTTGGAGCTTTTCCCGTTAAATCTTAGGTCCTAGGTGCACTGAAACCTCTGCAGGTTGAACCATGCAGTGCAGGCTCAACGCCCAGATTCAGCATTAAGACTTCAGGGTTGCAGGCGAGTGACCTTGCGGTCTGTGGGTGACTCTGCGCTGTGTCTGGGTCCCTATATCGAAACAAGGGTCCATGTGGGTGGTCGTCAATATTATGGTCCTTTTTTGGATCCCTATTATAATACGGCACCTAATATATAGGGTACCCAAGAAGGGACCATAACTTTGACAACCACCCATGTAGGTATAGAGCAAATACTTGTTCCGGAGTGGTCCCCCTATCATTACTCTGAGGCCCAAGCGTATACTATAAAACTACGGGAACCGTTTGGGTCAAGGACCCCGTTTCATTGTTGGCCAACATCCATGCCTTTCTGAGTCTTCAGCTTGTCGTGCGATGCGGTTTGAACAAACTCTGTGGCCTAACTATGTGACGTACAGAAATCCTCAAGCGGGTGGAAATGCATTTTGAAGACTCACTTGTCTGGATACAGACGTGAGAAGCCAAAAATAGCTGATCCGCAATAGGACAGCCCCATGAACATCCCAGAAGCGTAGAATCTTGCTTCACGCCTCACTCTCAAGGCCCAAGGGACCATATAGGCATATTGTAAATACATGGAGCCCAAAGTGGTTCCGGTATGATTACTTCGTGCCCTAGTATACCATATGACTACATGGGCCCTTCGGTGGGTAGGCAATCAATGTAGTTTTGAGATGCTGGGTTTGAAGAATTGTAGGCAAACCATGAGGCATGCCAAACGTTGCAAGATTCCCCCAACGAGTACTAGTGCAGATTGAGTTTAGCAATATACAGGGTTCTCATAGATTAGATGCCGCCAATTGGGGGGATCGCTGGTAAGGAATATAGTAAATTGAGGTCTACTGTCAGGGGTTTCACCAGAACAGCATAATGAATCTAGGTTTTTGCTTTTCACAGGCACAAACCCTTGCAGCCGAGACACCCTTACCCGATCGCGACTTGTATGGGTCGGTGAAGATCAACAAGAATCCTTGGCGATTGTGCATACGTGCAGGTCACCCTAAACCCTTAACCTCATCACATCGTAGTTGCTTACCGTCTAGTTCACCCTTCTCCGGATGATCAATCTCATTAAGAAGTAAACGAACGGTCCTTCAAAGCCCATTTGAGGCCTAAGCTTGTGCCCCACAAAGCTGTACTGTTGTTGCCTACATAGTTATGTAGAGCAGGGGGTTTGGTTGCATTCGACTATAGTTGCACATGCCGCGTCTAGAAGAGCAATACACTCCAAAATGTCCTAGCCTTTGCAGGACTATATTAACAACCCCTCTGCAAGGACCCGCGTAACTACAAGGATCTCCTTACATGGAACCTTTAAAGTCAGTATGCAAGAAGTGCTAGAACCATGAGTTCTGGTATTCCTGCAACAATGCTCCCTTGATCGTAGAGCTGTTGTAGTGAGAAGTTTTCACTACCCAAACCCCACCATTCGGACCCCATAGCCAACAATATGACTACGATAAGGTTCTACTGTTAAGGGGCAGGTCACGAAAATGCCTGATTTAACTATGCAATATACGAACCATGGCAACATTATTCGCAATTTAGCCGCTCTCAGATGAGCCATAATCTAAAGTCCTTAAAGGCGGTTATATAAGGGATAATGAAGGGAACCATTGTAGGGGTAATGAACGGTGAAACTATGAGTTTCGACTATGGCTCAGATGGCAATCTCTGGACCCTTCGCGTGTGGTCTCGACCCTCCCGCCGGATTCACGAAGCCCAGGACTCCCAGACTCAACGAACTCGAATCCCTGCATCCGAAACCTTTCAGCGCCAATCCTCACACGTCCAACCTCCCCAAACACTATTTCTGGCTCCAAAAAGGAACGCTATCAAAAGTTTACGCTGATCTTCCTTATTGGGTTTGAATATGTTTGAGTTAGTAGAGTGCCCATGAAGATGATTCCAACAAAGATCCAGATATAGGGTTCCATACATGACATAGGGATTCCAAAGCAGGGCCCCCGATTGTTGCAAAGCCCTAAACGTATGCCCTTTTGGGTGGCTGCAACCTATACCTAACTAAGACTTGCAAATCCCAATCTCCATGAACTACCATGTCATCCTACTTTCCGCTTCGTTTCCATTTGAGCCCAGATTGTCCCCCCATCCCTTCAACATAGACCTAAGCCCTTGACCCTATAAGCCCTACACCCTGAACCACAAAGACCGTATAAGCCCTAGACTCTAGGGCTTATGGGGTTCATGCGGTTCAGGGTGACCCTTAGACACCAAAACCCTCACCCTAAGGGTCCAAGTACCCAATAATCATATACCTACCCAAAACCTGTACTATAATTACTATTACCCAAAACCCCAATACCCATTTATTAGGTACTTGGACCCTAAACCCTAAAATCCCTAAACCCTAAAACCTTATCCCTAAACCCCATATACTCCTATATACCCCTATATACCCCCTTTAAAGGGGACCCCAATTATTAGGTACTTGGACCCTAACCCTAAGCCCTAAACTGCTCAGAAGGCTGAAGCTCGCTCCCAAAGCTGGGTGCCCAGGGCTGCCTTGAGGCCAACGAAGATGAGTGCGCCTGAGTTCCCAAAGAAGCCCAATGTGGCTTAAGGGAAACTAGACAGAGGGTTCAGGGTTTAGGGTTTAGGGTTCAGGGTTTATGGGCTTAGGGTTCCGGGGAGTCAGGGTTTAAACCCTATAACATAGGGCTTAAACCCTAAACCCTAAACCCCAAACCCCTAAACCCTGAACCCTCTTAGGGTTTAGGGCCTAGGGAACATAGATACCCTTCTAGTGGGGACTTTCATCCCTTTGGGGTTTAGGGTTTAGGAGGCATAGATACTCTTGGAAAGCATAATGTAACCCTTAAGAAAGATGGGTACTACTCTAGGGAATTATACTGGGATTGTTATAGGGTTTTAAGTTCCTATGGAGCCCAATGCAGACATGAGGTAAGACAGGTGCTGAAAGTCTAGTGAATACAGGGTTCATCATAGGGTTTACAGTCTAGAGTTTTCAGGGAACCCACTGTTGCTATGAAGCAAGCATGAAAGCAGGACGGGTACTCCTGTAGGAAATTATATGGGGATTATTCTCGGGACAATTCTTCCAGGGATGCTGGAAAGAAGTTTCCTCCAGATTTGAAGACTATGTTTTCCCATCTTGCTGTGTCGAAGGTTAAGGGTCCCAACGTAAACAGAAAGAAGAAGACAAAACCCTCAACACTGAACCTGAGAAACCTCATCCCTGCACCCCTCGAGTACCGACACCCCTAGCCCTAGGTCCCTAAAACCATCCATCCCACGTTCACTTTCTGTGTATTGCTCCTATAGCCTTGTATGGGGAACCGAAAACTTCGCCTGACAGAAATCGAAGCCCAAGCACCGCTCACAGCGGTCTCAGGCAGCTTGTTCAACAAGTCCGGCAGAAAGAGGGCGACGCCCATCAAAAGGTAACCTTACTTACAATGGGAAGATCTTAGGACCCCTACTCTGGGTTAACCCTTAGGTACCTATAATGGGAATATATATAAGGGAATCCCAAAGGGTTAAGGGTCTAAGGTCCAAGCTAAGTCCCAAGGAATTACAATGGAAGGAAAAGGTACCCCCGAAGGAGTAGGGTATATACCTCACAACACAGTCCTCATATCTTGATGATGTTGGGTGTGGCAGGGTTTGGGGCTCAAAGCCTGGCTTGCGTGATTAAGCAAGAATCTCAGAGATGAGTATCCTCGGAACCCTTGAAGGAAAGCTTTTGACAAAGAAGGACCTGGTGATTTTACGAGCCTTGGTAGGGAACCACCTCGTTGTCCAATCTCCCAAGGCATCGCGTGGAACATTCTGCGTAGGTTAATATTTGGGCCGTAGACTGCGAAGAGACACAGCTTTGAGCACTCTGAACTTCAGGGCCACAAGTTAAACTTAAAGATCCCACATCACAACGGCTGCACAGGCTACAAAGGTTAAAGCCCCCAAAATCCCCCAAACCTAGGCCTTAAGCAACTGCTAAGCAGCCAACGAAGGGAGCCACACGATTTTCCACCACACCTGTCGGCCGGTATTCCTGTGGGTGGATGTCAAAATTATGGTCCCTTTTTGGGTCCCTATAATAGTACGGCACCTAATATTTAGGGTACCCAAAAAGGGACCATAATTTTGACAACCACCCCTGTCTCGAGAGGATCGAAGCAAAGCTCTTCAGGGTCCAAAGGGTTTCAACACGCGCGCCGCGCTGCAGTTTCCAAAAGATTCGGGTTTGGGGGCTTAGGCTTTACTAGACCGCTCTGCTTCAGGTCGACTTAGTCTCAGCCCTCCCAAAACTGAAGACGGGTAAGACTGAACCCTCAAACCTACACTCAAGCACTGAGCGCTAAAACTCCCGGCTCTATGAAGCCTGAAGCCGAAAGCCTCGCGGCACAACCATTGGTTTCCATAATTGGGGGGCCCAGTCTATTCTCCAGTATACTAAGACCCGCTACTACCAAACAAAAAAGGGCCCGCAAGTTTCGGAAACCCTAAACTAGTACAAGTGCCTATATAACTCATAGATACCCGTTGAGAGGTCCCCAAGGTAAGCCCCAAGGCACTGCGCCCTATATTCTCAATCCTACACCCCATAGCGCTCCTCATCCGTCTCTGTCATGGCGCTAACGAACTGAGGCGAGTGTGGCAAAGAGCCGGTGACCTGGGCCATACTTCGGGTCTTTGGATTTACGGTTTTAAGGTAAGAAGCTTAGGGATGTAGGCGTTAAGAGTTCGGGCTTTACAGTTGAGCATTTAGGGCTGGTTCAAAGCTTCTGGGCTTGGGAACCTACAGAGTCAGTCAAGGGTGAAGAGGTTGAACAGATTCAGCATTCAGAGCTAAGGGCTTAGGGATTACAGGGTCCCTTCTCGCCGTGTGCAAAATGTTGTGAAGACACCTCAGAAAAGGCGACCTGTCAGACTTTGTTACCCCAAGGAGCGTAGGACAAGACCAGACTACATCCTTTGCACCATGCGCAATGATAGCAGACATGGTATCTAAGTACCCTGCCCATTCATGGAGGAAGTTGTATGGCTCTTACTACGTGGTGAGGGATTGTAGATACCCCTAACCCTAAACCCTACACCCCCCTAAGCACTAAAACTATGTACAAATTTCATAAATGCAACTTATGGGACATATAGCCGTACCTGTTCTCACTGATCGCTTTGCCCAATGATAAACGTCGCCTCTCTTAGTAATGAAAGCTTCTGGAAAGTTTTGCCATAAAGGAAGAGCTTACTGTAAAGAATGGTGGTAGGGCCCAATTGGGTTTCCCTTCTACTTCTGCTAGAAAACAAACCATTGTTAATCGCTTCGGTCTGGTCAGCTGTGATGATATTCAATGAGTTCCGTCATAAAACCCCAAGATCTAACTGTATATCATCTTCTCTCTCAAAACCATGTAAAACAACAACACAACATTGAAAATCTATGAACTGCAGGAGGCTACACCATCACCAATATCAATATCTGTTGTAAAGCCTACTTGACGTACCCTATAGCATGACTATACCAGGAACTCAGGACCGTAATTTTCGGCATTTGTTTAGGCCCGAATCCCACGCTGTCCCCTAGGTGGAACCCTAAGCCTAAGTGCTATCAAGGAAAAGAAAGCTAGCACAGCCCAGTGACAAAGGGCAAGCCCCAGATTGGTCCCAGAATGTTGAAGAGCGCCATGCAAGCAAAGGAGGAGTGGAAATAGGCTCCTTTCCCAAGCCTTACTGATGTCAGACATGGGGTTCAAGATTTCACAACATGGGGCTCACAAGTTTGGTTGCAAAGCAACTCTCTAGCAAATTCCACCCAAAAACGATCGAAACTTACAGATTCTGAGTAAGGAATGAGGGAACAACATCCACATGTAATATATTCCCCTATTCATTACTAAAAAATGGTAAGGAGAAGAGCAGGAAAGCAACATCTGCTCTGGCTTCTGGCACATCAGGCTGGAGATATTCTGGTCCAGGTAGAAAAACATCACCTTGGTTTGGGTAGTTTCCAAAACAAAATACACTTTCCACTCCGAAAACTCGGTGTCGCGGTATAAGGCTGAGGAAAGATCTTCCAAGTGGCACATTATCCATTTCGGTTCAGGGCTTCGGTGATAGAGGCTCTCTACGCCTTGGACACCCAAACCTGCGCCGGCTCATAGGCTGCCGAACGTTGAAAAGCCCAACCCAAAACATCTCACCTTATCCTCAAAAATCTAAGGACCCAATAAGCATATACTTCCCCAGAACCTGTTCTAGCGGTAAAACCCAAATTCCAAGTACTCACCTGTTGGGCATGGACCTGAAACCCTATATACTCTTATTTGCCCGTATATATCCCTATCTATATACATCTGCTTGTAAATATATATATATATGGATACATAAATACCGATATGCCCCCACATATGCCCACGTTCAACAGCCCATAGCAAAGTCAAAGCCCTAAACACTATACGGCCCTCCACTTCCCCGTACGTCGGTATAGGCCCTGTAAAGCATGAATGGACCCCCGGGTAAAGCCTGACCAATTGAGCTTCCTGAAGATGAGAGGATTTCAGTAACCTAAAATCAGACCCCAATTATAGTCCAATGATACTTCTAGAATTCCTATTTTAGGGCTTGGGGTAATGCACCCTAAACCCTATACAAACTAAACCCTAAACCCTAAACCCTAAACACTAAACCCTAAACCCTACACCCTATACCATTACCCAAAGCAAAGTCCCTAAACCCTAAACCCTATACTATTACCCAAAGCAGTGTCCCTAAACCCTAAACCCT